AGTTGTTATTTAAAAAAAAGAATTCATTAGATGAGATTTAGAGCAGATTAGAAGCAGCAAAATAGTGAATTTATGAACTGGAAAATGGGTAAGTATTCAGATGAAAGCACAGAAAGAAAAGAAAGGAAAGAAAACACAGAAAAGAGCATCAGAGAGAAAGGAGGCGCAGTGATAAGTAGTGCTGCAAAACTATAATGTGGGAGAAATGCTGCTGTGCCGTTGTTGAAAACATATAAGGCTGGGTGCAGTGGCTCACACCTGTAATCCTAGCACTTTGGGAGGCTGAGGGAGGTGGATCACCTGAGGTCAGGAGTTCAAGACCAGACTGGCCAACCTGGTAAAACCTCATCTCTACTAAAAGCAAAAAAATTAGCTGGGTGTGGTGGCATACACCTATAATCCCAGCTACTGGGGAGGCTGAGGCAGGAGAATCACTTGAACCCAGACGGTGGAGGTTGCAGTGAGCCAAGATCGTGCCACTGCACTCCAGCCTGGGCGACAGAGCCAGACTCCGTCTCAAAAAAATTAAAAAATAAAAAAAAAAAAAAGAAATATGGCAAAAGCTCCTATTATCTGAAAACATGGGGATATAGTGGCACCTCAACCTCAAATGATATGGCCCACTGTAGGAGCTAAATATAAGGATTTGTGGAAACTATTAATGGCTCTTAATAAGATCAAAATTTAGGAGAGAATAAAAAAGCATCTAGAAGGACACTCTACAAACTTGTCTTTGGATACTGAAAAATTAAAAGAACAAATATTTAAAGCATCACAGGTACACCTGACCTTAATGCCAGGCATAGGAGTGCTTGAAGGAGCTACAGACAGATTAGCACCTAGTAACCCATTAAAATAGATAAAAACACTTGGCAGCTCTGTGATTTCAATGATGATTGTGCTTTTAATCTGCATTATTTGTCTTTGTATAGTCTGCAAATGTGGATCCCGACTCCTGCAAGAAGTAGCTCACCATGATAAAGCCACCTTTGCTTTTATTGTCTTGCAGAAACAAAAAGGGGGAAACATGTTGGGAACAGGCCCCCAAATCTGGCCATAAACTGGCCCCCAAACTGGCCATAAACAAAATCTCTACAGCACTGTGACATGTTCATAATGGCCATGACATTCACTCTGAAGGTTGTGGGTTTACTGTAATGAGGGCAAGGAACACCTGGGCCACCCAGGGCAGAAAACCGCTTAAGGCGTTCCTAAACCACAAACAATAGCATGAGCAATCTGTGCCTTAAGGACAGGTTCCTGCTGTAGATAACTAGCCAGAGCCTATCCCTTTGTTTCAGCCCATCCCTTTCTTTCCCATAAGGAATGCTTTCAGTTAATCTATAATCTGTAGAAACAATGCTTATCACTGGCTTGCTGTCAGTAAATATGTATAAAACTCTGTTCGGGGCTCTCAGCTCTAAAGGCTGTCAGCCCCCTGAATTCCCATTCCACACTCTATATTTCTGTGTGTGTGTCTAATTCTTCTAGCACTGCTGGGTTAGGGTCTCCACAACTGAACTTGTCTCAGCAGTATAGAAATCAGAATATTCATTTGGCAACATTTGGTAACATCAAGGCAGAATATTTATCAGAAATCAAATGTTATCACCAAAAATCTACTATGCTTTGTCATGAGATGCAATACAACACCCATTAATTAAAACATCAACAGATACTATTAAAATACTTTGGGATAAAGTCAGACATGCTAAATGTTACTCATATTTTAGACATATTACCTGATTTGAGGCATATAGTGCAGATGATTATGGTTAGAGTTGTAGTTTTCTAAACTCAAATACTGCTATATGTGAACATTTTTGGGAGATTTTTGTCACAACTGGAGAAAGATTATTTTTAAATTTTAGTAAACTACTTACAAAAACTGAACTAGACAAAAATAATTCAAAAAGCTAGAAATATGACAACATGGTGCAAATATATGTGGAAAGTGTAACATGACAATAGGAAATCCTTGAATAAAAAATATATGTACCATAAAATATAGAATTGTATATTCTATATAATTCTATATTCCTTTTCTAAAGCATTATTATTATTATTATTATTATTATTATTATTATTATTAGAGATGAGGGGAAGATCTCACCATGTTGCCTGGGCTGGTCTTGAACCCCTGTCCTCAAGCAGTCTTTCTTCCTCAGCCTCCTGAGAAGCTGGGATTACAGACATATACCACTACGCCCACCTTAAAGCTTGCTTTCTTTCTTGTTTTTTTTGTTTGTTTGTTTGTTTTTTGTTTTTGAGACAGGGTCTTGCTCTGTTGCTCAGGCTGGAGAGAAATGGCATGATCATGACTCACTGCAAACTCCACCTCCCAGGTTCAAGCTATCCTCCCACCTCAGCCTTCTGAGTAGCTGGGACTTCAAGCATGCCACCATGACCAGCTAATTTTTGTATCTTTTGTAGAGATGAGGTTTCACCATGTTGCCCAGGCTGGTCTGAAACCCCTGGGCTCAAGCAATCCAATCTGCCTCATTCCCCCGAAGTGCTGGGATTACAGGCATGAGCCACTGCACCCAGCCTAAAGGCATTCTTTAAACATGACAGTGAACAATACAGTCAAAGTCTCCTTAGACATTACTGAATTTTAAAAATATATTTTAAGAACTATATGGCCGGCGTGTGGTGGCTCACGCTTGTAATCTTAGCACTTTGGGAGGCCAAGGCAGGCAGATCGCAAGGTCAGGAATTTGAGACCAGCCTGGCCAACATGGTGAAACCCCATCTCTACTAAAAATACAAAAATTAACCTGACTGGTGGCGTGCACCTGTAATCCCAGCTACTTGGGATGCTGAGGCAGGAAAATTGCTTGAACCCAGGAGGCAGAGGTTGCAGTGAGCCGAGATCGTGCCACTACACTCCAGCGTGAGCAACAGAGCAAGACTCCATTTTGGGGAAAGAAAGAAAAAAAAAAGAAAAAAACTATACATCTACCAAAAGCTTCAGTTAAATGTTTGGGTATATTGAAAACACACTGGATATAAATTTGAAACCACTGTTAAACATGTGACGGGAAAATTAGAGTTGAGACTGCCATGCCACTGTCAACTGACCATAGGTTCTTGGGCTGTCAATGAAACAGAAAATTGACATGAGGCCAAAAGAGTTTTCTCAAAACTTCACTGGAGCTTTTATCCAGCCATAAAGAAGGCAGAATGAGAGAGAGAGAGAGAGAATTCCCTGACAGACTCCATCTACAAAAGAGCAGGTAGGACTTTTTTATTAGACAAAGTACAGAACTGACATCAGGAGTGGAGTGTACACAGGCTGGGCAAGGCGAACGATGTGAGGGGTAGGGTAGCAGGTCAGCATATCTAGTTGTGATTATTATCTTGAGTAATGGGCCACCTGGTGGTCTGGTCTATGACAACAAGACTATAAATCAATTGTCCAGCAGCATTCCTTTCTGAGGTGGGACACTCTGCAACCTGGGTTATCTCTTAAAGCCAGTTCCTGGAATTCTTTAAGTAAAAAGACTATTAGCAGTGATGTAGTGGTGTGGGTTTTGTGATCTGTGGGAATGCTCTAATGGGGGTGAGCTAAAGCCAAGCTCTGTCTCTACTGTGTCTCACCAGTAAAAACACAATTACAAACAGCATGCAATGCTCTTTTTGGTGATGATAGTTAATAAAGAATACAGGTTCTAAAATACCAGCCGAAGTTTTACTTTCAAACATATGTCTAAATTTATTAGCTTAGTACTGACCTGGTATGATGCTTTAAGTAAAATTGATGGTTTAAGCAAAATGACAGAGAAAAATCAAAATGCAATATCAAAAAATTTTAATGTATATAATGTTCTCAAAAACCTCAAAGGGATTAAGAAATTCATTTTTTTTCCTTTTTTAAAAAATACATATTTTTTAGGACAAGATCTCAAGCTCTTGGCCTCAAGTAATCCTCCTGCCTTGTCCTCCTAAAGTGCTGGGACTACAGGCATGAGCCATTGCTCCTGGCCTAAGAAGTTCTTTAAAGAAAAGCTAAGTGATAATGCTTACAGAAAGATAGATTACTGAGTTTAAAATAAATTGCAGAGTCTCTTGATATTCCTTTCAATTTCTCCTGCATAGAGAATATTAGAAAAAGGGGGTTTCAATTGCAAATCCCTCAGCCCATCTACGTTCCAAAATTAAATTTTAAATCAATTTCTTTTTTATTCTACATTGGAAACTGCAATGTTATTGTTTTTTCTTTTCTTTCTTTTTTTTTTTTTTTTTTGAACGGAACCTCCCTCTGTCGCCCAGGCTGGAGTGCAGTGACGTGATCTCGGCTCACTGCAACTTCTGCCTCCCAGGTTCAAGCAATTCTCTTGCCTCAGCCTCCCGAGTCTCTGGGATTACAGAGGCCCACCACCACGCCCAGCTAATTTTTGTGCTTTTAGTAGAGATGGGGTTTCACCATGTTAGCCAGGATGGTCTCGAACTCCCGACCTCAGGTGATCCGCCTGCCTTGGCCTCCCAAAGTGCTGGGATTACAGGCATGAGCCACCGCGACTGGCCAAAAACTAAAATGTCATTTTAAAAATAAAAGTTTACAACACTGAAAGAAAATTACGCCCTTTTCAGGCTTCTAATCAAGATCCTTACTATTTAAAATGTCCTCCTGGAACAGCAGCATCAACATCACCTGGGAGCTCTTTAGGGGTGCAGAATCTCAGCCCCACTCCAGATCAACTTAGTCAGAATCTTCATTTTGACATGACTCCCAGGCAATTCATTTGCATATCACAGTTTGAAAAGCACTGGACTAGATGACATATGTAACTTGAAGAATTACAGGAAATATGAACTTCAACAGCTATTAAAAACTTATAACTGAAATTGACTAATGAATATTGATGATGTTGATGGGAAATGAACATGGAGGAACTAAAAACGTCATTGTTTGTTAAAATCTGGCATAACTTCTGCTGAAGTATTGCAATGGCTTTGCAACAATAATTGTATATTTATTTATTTATTTATTTTCATAGAGACAGCATCTTACTGTGTTGGCCAGGCTGGTCTCAAACTCCTGGACTCAAGCAGTCCTCCTGCCGCAACCTCCCAAAATGCTGGGATTACAGGTATGAGCCACTGCAGCAGGCCTGCAGCAATAATTTATCACATTTCCAAATACTTTATGGCTGTCAGTATGTATTTCACTTTGCTAATATGGGTAACCAGTAAAGAATGTAGCTTCACAAAATAAAAGTTAGTAGAAATGAATTAAGGTCTAGAGTGACCAAAAAAGACTGTTACATCTAGTAACCATCATATATGGGAGCAAGGAAGCATTGAAACTGCCATAAAGAATTTTATTTCCATGAAAGTAAGACAAATAACTGTTGTATAGAAAACTATCATATACTAGTGATTTTGAATTTCTTGGCTGGGCCCACTGACTCATGCCTGTAATCCCAGCACGTTGGGAAGCTGAGGTGGGTGGATCACTTGAAGTCAGGAGTTCAAGACCAGCCTGGCCAACATGGTGAAACCCTGCCTCTACTAAAAATAGAAAAATTAGCCAGGTGTGGTGGTTTGCACCTGTAATCCCAGCTACTCGGGACACTGAGGCACGAGAATCGCTTGAACCTGGGAGGCAGAGGTTGCAGTAAGCAGAGATCATGCCTCTGCACTCCAGCCTGGGTCACAGACTGCATCTCAAAAATAAAAAAAAAATTTCTACACTTTATCTTAACCAAAAGGCCAAGAAGTGATTTGACTTAAAATTTCTAATTATTGTGCTAGTTTTTCTTACTTCAGGGCCTTTGCTTATGCTATTTCCTGTTCCTGATACTCCTTCCTCTCCAACAGAGTTGGCTTAAATGGTTCAGGTCTCAGCTTGAATGTCATTTCCTCAGGGTGGCCTTCCCTGACCCCACAAAGTCAGCTGCTCTTATGACATTCTCTCAAAACACTCTGAATTTCCTCTTTCTTAGCCCAGCATACCCATAACTTCCCCTTACATTTCTGCCTTCCTCTCTGGACTATAAGCTTCACCAGTGCAGGGACTTGGTCTCTGTCATTCGGACCCACTGACCTCCATGTATCTTTAGGGGCTCAATAAATATTTATTAAATTACTTAATATTCATTAAATGAATTAATATTTATTAAGATTTAGGAATGAGTGAATGGTGGTTCTAGTCATATTAAATGAAGTATAATCCTGACGTATATTTGTATAACTCTTTTCTCTTTTTAGTACATTTTTACTTCTGTTTTCCCATTTGACCCTCCAAAAACTCAACTCTACCTGGTGAGCCTCTCTCAGTCCTTAAAGTGCATATGAGATCCCCTAGCTCGTAGGTGTGAGCATGGACTGGAGGTGGATGGCCTGCCTTCCCATCCTAGTTCTGCCACTTCAGACCTGTGTCTTGGGCAAATTCCCTCACCTCTTTGTGCCCCGGTTCTTCGTTTGTGCTTACCTCATAGGTGTACTATGAGGAGCAAATGAATATATACGTATAAAGATCTTGAACAGTGCCAGGTACCTAACAAATGTTAGCTATCATTCCAGGAGCAGCATGAAGATGAAGAGTATAGGGGCCAGTATTACAGATCAGGCATCCCTAATATTGTGCTAAGTAGAAGAAGCTGGACACAAAACAGCACACACTGTGCATTTCCATGACATGAAGTTCAAGGACAGGCAAAACTAGCCTATGATGACAGAGGTAGGTTAGAATAGTAGCAGGCGTGGGCAAGCACACTGACTGGGAAGTACACAGTAGTCTTCTTGGGTGCTGGAAATGTTTTGTATCTTGATCTGGATGGTGGTTACACAGGTAAGTATGTCTATAGAAATTTTTTTTTTTTTTTTTTTTGAGGTGGAGTCTCGCTCTGTCATGCAGGCTGGAGTGCAGTGGCACCATCTCAGCTCACTGCAACCTCCACCTCCCAGGTTCAAGTGATTCTCATGCCTCAGCCTGCCAAGGAGCTGGGATTACAGGCACACGCCACCATACCCAGCTAATTCTAATTTTTGTAATTTCGGTAGAGATAGAGTTTCGCCATGTTGGCCAGGCTGGTCTCGAACTCGTGACCTCAGGTGATCCGCCCACTTCAGCCTCCCAAAGTGCTGGGATTACAGGCGTGAGCCACCGCACCAAGCCAGAAAAGTTATTCTTTTTTTTTTTTTTTTTTTTTTGAGACGGAGTCTCACTCTGTCGCCCAGGCGGGAGTGCAGTGGCCGGATCTCAGCTCACTGCAAGCTCTGCCTCCCGGGTTTATGCCATTCTCCTGCCTCAGCCTCCCGAGTAGCCGGGACTACATGCGCCCGCCACCTCGCCCGGCTAGTTTTTTTGTACTTTTTAGTAGAAACGGGGTTTCACCGTGTTCGCCAGGATGGTCTCGATCTCCTGACCTCGTGATCCGCCCATCTCGGCCTCCCAAAGTGCTGGGATTACAGGCTTGAGCCACCGCGCCCGGCCTAAAAGTATTCTTAAGATTTGTGGCTGGGCACAGTGGCTCACGCCTGTAATCCCGGCACTTTGGGAGCCCGAGGCAGGTAGATCACCTGAGGTCAGGAGTTCGAGACCAGCCTGGCCAACATGGCAAAACCTGGTCTCTCCTGAAAATACAAAAGTTAGCTGGACGTGGTGGTAGGCGACCATAATCCCAGCTAGTTGGGAGGCTGAGGCAGGAGAATCGCTTGAACCCAGGAGGCAGAGTTTGCAGTGAGCTGAGATTGTGCCATTGCACTCCAGCCTGGGTGACAAGAGTGAAACTCAATCTAAAAACAAAAAAAAAAAAAGAAAGAAAAAAGAAAAAAAAAGGTTTGTGCACTTTAACGTGCAACTTTTACCTCATTAAACACTGAAGACAAAGTATTAGATTGTGACCACTCCTTTTATCTTGGCATGGAATTTTTCCTCCAACTCCTCTGCCTCCACCAAGGACCTCAGAGGGGATCCTGGATGAGGATTAATCCCTTTCCCCTTGTTTCTTTCTGTTGGCACCCAGTAAAGCACAGATCTCTTCCACCAACCTGGCCTTTACCTGAGAAAAGTGGGACAAGGCCATGTTTCAGGAGGCCCAGTAAGTAAGGTGGGGGCATAAACACATATGACTTTATCCATAGTATAAAGACCACTGCCCTCCCTGGAAATCAGACAGAGCCAGTGAGACAAGGCCTCAGTTCCAACCCCCATGGTCTCCACCCCCATCCCAACAGAGCCAATCAGCTCCAGGGGAGCAGAACTCCGACATCCTCCCTGCTGGGGCCTCACGGTCAGGATTGCTAGTGATCGGGATCTCAGGCATATTGATCTAGTTTGTTTTCAAGTGATAGAAATCCAAAGCAAACAGGCATATGCAAAATCAGAGCCGTTTTATTGGGAGAATGCTGGTGTGCTTATGGAACATAGCCTTAGGAAGTGCAGGGAGGGCCTCAGAGACAAGTGGGCCCTTGGACACTTTTTCCCCTCTCTGCTTTTCTTAGTTTTATCAGATCAGCTTTCTCCCCATAATGCAAGATGTGGCTACCATTAGTTCCTGAGCCTCATGCTAGAAAACCTGTATCCTGCATCAGTCCAGTTCAGCAAATTTCAGGGAAAGGCTCTGATTGGCGCATTTTGAGTACAATGCCCATCCCTAGACCAATCAACTGTGGCCATGAGTGTATAACCAACAACGCCCGCTGAAATCACATAGTGGTTAGAAAGCAGAAAAGAACAGGTCCCCTGAAGGAGGTGTAGTTTCCAGAAGAAAAGGGGATGATGGGCAGGGAAGACAATATCATAGATGTTACAATGGTGGGACAGAGAGGGATACAACTAAGTCCATGAAGCCTGGCCTGTGTCTCTTCTACTTAAACATAACTTTCTCAGTCCCTGTTGTCCAGTAATCCAGAGACAAGGTCAGCAGGATCCTACCTTTGAGATCCAACTAACTCAACAAGTTGTGGGAGGGGCACCAGAGAAACATCAGGTCCTGCCTCAAGCCAGAACCCTCAGGCCTGTCAACAGGACAGTCCAAGAGAGTGGTGGAAGCTCACCAGGCTGGGCACCCACAAACCAGTCCTGATGTCACAACTAACTCAGTATCCTCAGTACCCAGTATCCTGGGCCTCAGTATCCTCCTCTGTAAAATGAGAGCCATTGAGCTACCTGATTAGAGAGACAACACTGAGTTCCTGAATGCCAAACAGCTTGGATTTAAATCTCAGCTCTAGGCCTGGCATGGTGCCTCATGCTTGTAATCCTAGCACTTTGGGAGGCTGAGGCAGGTGGATGGCTTGAGCCCAAAAGTTTGAGACCAGCCTAGGCAACATGGCAAAACCCTACCTCTACAAAAAATACCAAAAAATTAGCCAGTCATGGTGGCATGCACCTGTAGTCTCAGCTACTCAGGAGGTTGAGGTGGGAGGACCATTTGAGCCCAGGAGGTGGAGGCTGCAGTGTGCACTCCAGTCTGGGCAACACAGAGACCCTGTCTCAAAACTCAATAAATCAATCTTAGTTCTACCCTTAGCAGCTTTGTGGTCTTGGAAACTTAAAAAAAATTTTTTACTTGTTATTGACCGGGCACGGTGGCTCACGCCTGTAATCCCAGCACTTTGGGAGGCTGAGGTGGACAGATCATGAGGTCAGGAGATTGAGACCATCCTGGCCAACATGGTGAAATCCTGTCTCTACTAAAAGAACAAAAATTAACTGGGCATGGTGGCACATGCCTGTAATCCCAGCTACTTGGGAGGCTGAGGCAAGAGAACCCCTTGAACCAGGGAGTCGGAGGTTGCAGTGAGCCGAGATCGTGCCGCTATACCTGCCACTATATCTACCTGGCGACAGAGTGAGACTCTGTCTCAAAAAGTAAAATAAAATAAAATAAAATAAATTTTTACTAGTTATTTTGAAAAGAATTTCAAATTTACAGGATATTTGCAGGAGTAAGCCAAATAACTCCTGTATACCCTTAACCCAGATTCTGCAATTTCTACCATGTTGCCACACTTACTTAGTCATCCTTTCTCTCATTTTTTTCTGAGCCATTTGGGAGTACATTGCATTCATCGTGTCCCTTTACCCTTCACAGTTCACTGTATTTCCTTAGAGCGGGGACTTTCTCTTATATAACTACAG